GTATGTATGTATGTATGTATGTATGTATGTATGTATGTATGTATGTACAGGGGTTGGACAATGAAACTGAAACACCTGGTTTTGGACCACAATACTCTATTAGTATGGTGTAGGTCCTCCTTTTGCGGCCAATACAGCATCAATTCGTCTTGGGAATGATATATACAAGTCCTGCAAAGTGGTCAAAGGAGTTTTAAGCCATTCTTCTTGCAGGATAGTGGCCAGGTCACGACGTGATGCTGGTGGAGGAAAATGTTTTCTGACTTGCTCCTCCAAAACACCCCAAAGTGGCTCAATAAAATTGAGATCTGGTGACTCTGCAGGCCATGGGAGATGTTCAACATCACTTTCATGTTCATCAAACCAATCTTTCACCAGTCTTGTTGTGTGTATTGGTGCATTGTCATCCTGATACACGGCACCTCCTTCAGGATACAATGTTTAAACCATTCGATGCATATGGTCCTCCAGAATGGTTCGGTAGTCCTTTGCAGTGACGCGCCCATCCAGCACAAGTATGGGGCCAAGGGAATGCCATGATATGGCAGCCCAAACCATCACTGATCCCCCCCCATGCTTCACTCTGGGCATGCAACAGTCTGGGTGGTACGCTTCTTTGGGGCTTCTCCACACCGTAATTCTCCCGGATGTGGGGAAAACAGTAAAGGCGGACTCATCAGAGAACAATACATGTTTCACATTGACCACATCCCAAGATTTGCGCTCCTTGCACCATTGAAACCGACGTTTGGCATTGGCACGAGTGACCAAAGGTTTGGCTATAGCAGCCCGGCCGTGTATTTTGACCCTGTGGAGCTCCCGACGGACAGTTTTGGTGGAAACGGGAGAGTTGATGTGCACATTTAATTCTGCCGTGATTTGGGCAGGCGTGGTTTTATGTTTTTTGGATACAATCCGGGTTAGCACCCGAACATCCCTGTCAGACAGCTTCCTCTTGCGTCCACCGTTATTCCTGTTGGATGTGGTTCGTCTTTCTTGGTGGTATGCTGACATTACCCTGGATACTGTGGCTCTTGATACATCACAAAGACTTGCTGTCTTGGTCACAGATGCGCCAGCAAGACGCGCACCAACAATTGGTCCTCTTTTGAACTCTGGTATGTCACCCACAATGCTGTGTGCATTGCAATATTTGGAGCAAAACTGTGCTCTTACCATGCTAATTGGACCTTCACAGTCTGCTCTCATTGGTTCAATATGCAATTAACTCATTGACTGCCAGCCATTTTCAGAACAGAGAGTCGCTCACTGCCAGAGTTTTTTGAGAATTTTGACTGATTTTTCAAGAGCCACAGAATAGTTTGTGCTATGACTATGTAAACACCGAACACACCAAAAGAAAGAGTAGACTCTTTTCTTTCATCAGGAAAAAATATTTTGTTTCTACCTCATTCCGTTCTTCTTCGACGTGCGTCTCACCGGCGCCATTTCTCTCATAACGAACTATTGCGTTTGTTTTTATTTGCTTACAATCTATGCTAATCTCCCATCAAAAGTGGCACTGCCACCTAGAGGGTAAATTTGTTAGTCCATACTCTGTCTAGAAGCCGATATTTACGGGAAAACTTTCGCCGATCGTCCCCCAAGCCACTCGCATTGAAAAACATAAAAGATGTCTATAGACGTCTTTGGCAGTCAGCGGTTGGATTTGAAAAGACGTCTATAGACGTCTTTGGCAGCGAATGAGTTAATGAAGATTGGCCACCAGGCTGGTCCAATTTAGCCATGAAACCTCCCACACTAAAATGAGAGGTGTTTCAGTTTCATTGTCCAACCCCTGTATGTACTGTATGTATGTATGTATGTATGTATGTATGTATGTATGTATGTATGT